TGCTCTTGAACTCCTGGCCTCAAGTGATCCACCTGCCTCGGCCTCCCAAAATGCTGGAATTACAGGTGTGAGCCAGCATGCCTGGCCCAAATTGTAATTTTTCATTCTGTTTTTTAAGATATTCATCTGAGCACTTCTATTTCTGAGTAAATTTTCTATCATTAGAAATTTAATGGAAAACATTTCTAAAATATAAATTAGTATGATTCTTTAGTATCTGTGTAAACCTTGGCATACCCATAACCTCACTATATCATCTTATAATTGAATATTTAGATGTCTTTATTATAAATCTCTGAATGTATTCTGGGTACCTGAAATGTACTCAGCTCATAACATATGTTCAAGAAATTTTCATTGGATGAAAGCATTTAATATGAAAACACCCTAATAGTTTTGATGTTATATCTACTTGTGTTTGTTTCGGTAATTTTTATTATATTTTATATTTGCCTACATAATTAGAATTACTTTTATGTTTTACTATTTGTCAATGATATTAAAATGTTATGGAGTAATGAAAAGAAAGTCATGTAAATTATGACATCTCAGGATATTGCGTGACTACGTTAGGTCTGAACAAGAGCAATAACATTTTATTTCTACTGTTCCCATTATCTTACCTGAATCCCGCAGATCACCTAAACTTGACTCATTCCACTCTTATAATTCATTCCTCATTATTTCACCAAAAAATATATATATCCTTCTTATTTAGTAGAGATGGGGATTGAATGTATTGATCTATTTTTAGAGAATTGACATATAGAAATATTACATCACTGACTCATGAACATGATCTATCTATATATTTACTTGTCTTTAGTTTCCTTCAGTACTGTTTTGCACCATAGAGATCTTTTACATTTTTGGTCAGATTTTTGCATATTTCTATTGTTTCTGGCTATTGTAAATAGTACTACTTTTATAATGTTATTTTCTTATTTTTTGTGTAATTATCTTGTATCCTCCAAGACTGTTAAACTCACTTATTAATTCTGGAAGCTGTTTTGTAGTTTTTTACAGATTTTATAACATAGATTATGTTGTTGGCAAATAATGACTGATTTTCTTAGTCTTCTTTTTGAATTTAAATGGCATTTATTTCTTCTTGCTTCATTGTACAATATAACTGTCCTAGTATAATTTTTAATAGAGGCAGCATGAGTAGATATATTTGTGCTTTTTTAAAATGGATACTCAGCCTTTTATGGTTAAATATGATATTAACTATAGAATATTTATTAACATGATTTATAGGGTTAACATAATTTTCTTTTATTCCTAATAGCTGCAAGTTTTAATCAGTCTTAAATGTTGGATTCTCTAAGATGTCTTTATCTATAATAATGTTATTTTAGTTTTGTAATATGGTGAACAACATTGATTTTTAAATTTATAGTAACTTTACATTCTTAGAATAAAGCCCTCTTAATCATAATGCATTATATTTCATTTATTTTTTCATTAGAGTATCTAAAATTGTGTTAAGAATTTTTGCATCTAAATTTAGGAGGGATATTGATCTACAGTTTGGTCTCTTCTAAAAACTTTATCTGCTTTTACATCAAGATAAAACTGGTCTCTTAAAATTAGTTGGTAAGTTTTTCCTCCATTTTACAATAGATGAAAAATTTGTGTATAATTTGTAATATTAGTCTTACACATAATTGGAAGAATTCACCAGTGAAATTTTTTGTGTACTGAGATTTTTTTCTGAGAAGCTTTAAACTACAAATTTTTTAGCATGTATTTGGCTATTTTTTTTAGTACATATTTGACTAAAGGCTATGTTTACCATTTTTAGTGAGCTTTAGTTATTTTTGTGTCCTTCAAAGTATTTCTTCATTTATTCTAAGCAGTCAAATGCCATAAAATTGACCAAAATATTATCTTATTATTATTTTAATATGTGAAGATTCTGTAATGATTTTATCTCTCTTATTCCTGAAATAAGGAGTATTTGGAAAGTGTTCTCTTTCTGATTCTTGCTCTCACTCAGTCTTCCTAGAAATTCACATGCATCAATTTTATTTATCTTTTTGAAATATGACTTTTGGCTTTCATTGAATTTTCTTAATTATTTTTTGTTTTCTATTTCAAATATTTCTCTTATAATCTTAATTTTTCTGCTTCTACTTACATTGATTTTATATGCACTAATTTTCTAGTTTCTTAGGTGAATCCTGAAATTATTCATTTAATAGCTTTCTTATTTTCTAGTAGAGCTATTAAGTGGTATAAAAATTTCCATAAGGCACTGCTGTAATAGTACTTCACAAATTGTGATATATTGAAATTTAATTTTTATTCAGTTCAACGTACTCACTAATTCTCTTTTAAATTTGCGGATTTTTTTCCATAGGTCCTTAAAAAGAGTATCATTTGGTTCCAAATATTTAGTAATTTTTCTATGAATATTTTAAATATACTTCACTGAATTTTATCTCAATAAGAGAACAAATTTGTATGATTTGAGTCTTTTAAAATTTGAGACTTGCATTTGGACCCTAAGTCTATTTTATCAATGTAAATGTTCCATGTGCATTTAAAATAAATATATATCATGCTATATTTGAGTAAAGTGTTCTATATATGACAATTGAATCAAATTGGTAGTGTTTTCAAAATCATCTATATCATATTTATTGATTTTCTGATTATTTTACCTGTCAATTATTGAGGAAAACATATTGGCTATAGTTTCATAAAAGTATTATACTGGTCTATTTCTTTTTGCATTTCTCTTCATTGTTCCTTTATAATTCTTGAAGCTCTGTTATTGGAGTGTAAATACTTAGAATTGTTGGATCATTTTAATCGATTACTCCCTACATTGTCATAAAATTATTTTCTTTATTACTGTTAATAGTCTTATGCATGAAGTCTACTTTGATTGCTAATACAAGTATTCTAGTTTTCTATTGCTTAATGTTAGTAAGGTAATATCTTTTCTCATCCTTCACTTTTAACTTATTTGCGTTTTTATATTTAAACCACATGTAGGCAATGTATAGTTGATTCATCTTTTTTAAACCAACTAAAAATATAGATCTTCTAATAGAATGTTTAGATCATTTGTATTTGTCATAATTATTCATGAAGTTAGGTTAATTCTGCCATCTTCCTTTTTTTGGTTTGACCCATATGCATTTTGGAAAAAGAGAAGACACATAGAAACAAGAATGGTATCTATAATTCCACCATCTATTGAGAACTACATTTATAGTTTTGGTGCAATTATTTTATTCCTTGATTATAAGCATATACAGAAAAAATATTTTCCTTCATACTACTACAGAATTATTTAAATTATGTCCAGATTTTTATTAGCATAAATAATGCTACAGACCAACATTCTTTCACATATTTTGTAACTTTCATGTCTACATATTTCTTAGGATAAATTCTTAAATGCTAAGTTACTAGTTGAAGCTTTGAACTTTCTAAATTTCCCAAGATTTTTGTTTATTAAGATATAAAGAAAAAAATACCTTCTACATTTTGGGTCATAAAAATATCTAATTGTTCACAATTCTTTCTATTGTGTGCCATAGATAGATAGATAGATAGATAATCAATTTTTTCCATGAAATTTTTTTATCTTTGATATTTTGACAAATTTTTCTGGTCCAATATTGTGTCTCATTAATTTGTTAAAACATTCAGAGTGTATATTTGTTACAAATAATTTATTATTTTGACTTCTTTTAACTTTATTCATTTTTTTTTTGGCTCAGGCGTATATGTACATTATGCAATAATGTATATTATTTCTCTATGACTTTTCCTTTCATTTCAATTATCTGAATATACTTTCCTATTGATGTAGCTCATAACTAATTATTTTTGTTTATTGGTTTGTTTGAATTTTTTTTAATACTGATAACATTTTGCTCATAAAATCAGCATGAACTTAGTTTTAGTATTAGGTGTCAAGTAAAGCATAAATATACCCTATTTATTTATCTAGTGACTTGCCATTTAAAATTGTCATTTACTTACTAAAAAGTCTCTTTTATTTACAATGCATGAGGCAATATTAATTTTTTCCAATAATTCTTAGACAAATAGCACATATTTTATTTATTTGTAATTTCTTGTTACTATAAAACTGAAGCAGACTCAAGCCACTCTTGAACGTTTTGTACAATTAATCATATACTTTACCAACTATATTTTATGTCCTTTACCATTTTCAACTTATTTCTGGCTACAGTGCATAATGTCCTGTATCAATTTCAAACCTGGTGAGACTGCTGACTCTATTTGAGCATTTAGCTTAAGGATGTGTGGAAAAAAAATTACTAGTGGTTATTATGAATAGCCAAATCAACTATGAGATATGGAGAAAGAAGTTGGATTGGAATGTGAACATGAAACATGAAAAAAAAATGTTTGAACCCTCAATTATTGAGGCTCTCTTTCTAAACCCTGATTTATTTGAGTCAAGAAATAAGATCACCATTCTTGTTTTCCTCTATGGTCATTTTCCTAACATTGATCTTCTACTTATGTACAGTTTTCCCATTCCTCTGAGATATATGGTTTCTTATTGCTTTAAACTGTAATTTAATAACAGCTCATTTACACTGCCACATCCACTATAGAATTTGGGCTCTGCATTTATTCTTCATCATATTCGATTCACCTTCAAGGCTTGAGTGATTTTATTGCTCATGTAGGTAACCAATTTAAAACCCTATTCTCATATTATTTCTTGAACTCTAATGACTCTCTATGTCCACACTATGAACACTTTAAAAATATAGAGCTAATGTAAGTATGGATCTCCAGAATTAAGTCTACAACTTCTCCATATGGTTCTCTATTTATGAATGATATGGTTTAACTTTGTGTCTCCACCCAAATTTCCTACTGAATTTTAATCATCTTGTACAAGGGGAGGAACCTGGTGAAAAATGATTGGATCTTGGGGGTGGTTTCCCCCATTCTGCTCTAATGATAATGAGTGAGTTCTCACAAGATGTGATTGTTTAAAAGTGTTTGTCAATTCCCCTCTCGCTGTCTCTCCTGCTGACATGTAAGACATGCTTTGCTTCTCCTTTACCTTCAGCCATGATTGTAAATTTCCTGAGACTTCCCTAGCCATTTGAAGTGTGAGTCAATTAAAACTCTGTCCTTTATAAATTACTCAGTCTCATGTAGTATCTTTATGGTAGTGTGAGAACAAACTAATACAATGGTGATCTCTCTGGACTTGTTTTTGGAAGTCATTGAAATTTTCTTTTCTATATTCTTTTATTTTACCTGCTTCTTATCACATTTTCCCTTACATTCAGGCTAAATTTTGCTCTATCTTTTGTCATAATTCTGAGCTACATCAGCATCCTGAAGCCATTTTCTTTTCTAGCCTCTACCTCAAGGGCCCTGTACCCATGATAAACCCTGCTATTTGTCACCTCTGTTCTATATGATGTAGAAAGGTAGTCAAATAGATAAATTGATTGATTTTTCATAGAGGTACAGTCTCAAATATAAGCAAAGGCTATAATGTCAATTTTCAACCTATTTACTTCTCCTTGGTCACATATGATATGGTTTCCCTAGGATAATCATCCTAAACCTTAAGAAATCTTCCTAAGTGCCATATCTTATCTCTGCTTTATCATTCACAGCACACAACTGTGCCTTCTATAATATGGAGAAAATTAGGAATAATAATGTTATCCTTTAATGTCCACCTTTGTATGCACAGAAAAATTTCAGTTTTCTTTCAGGCCCACTGCTAATCATCTCCTGCTCACTAGGCTTTTGCCACTCTGCTTTACAGGTAATCTATGAGGAAACTGAAGTGATATTTCTGTGGACAATGTGAAATAGCTTGCAGTTCATGTGTTAGAATTGAAATATGGAAATGAAGTACATACAATATACTGCTAGCAGTAATCTTACTCTCTCTTCTCTTACCTAAAGTTGAATACACTGTTTAGAATTCCATATGCATTACCCATGTTATTTCTCATAAATTATTTCAAAAGAAATATAATTTTGGAAATAAAGCAAGAAAAAGCAGTAAATTTGGCTCAGCCACCCCATTGAGCCACTGAAGATGATAATCAGCGTCTCAGACCTTGATCCTCTTGAGGAGTCAGAGAAACATTCAGCTAGAATAGTCTATTGTTAGATGATCCAACTTTTTTCCTCAAATCTGGCTTTAATCGTATTTAGAGTTATTTTCTGCAAGGTAAGGAAGCACATCTAATTGTCGTTCCAAATTTATATAGATTTTTTCTTCATTATTGCATATTTCAATGCAATAATGAATGAGAACAGACATATAGCTTACCAAAATACAAACTCAGAAGTCAGAAATTTGCCCTTTAAGTTATAGAAAAAGCAATTTAATTTTACATTAATTTGTTCATACTGGTCTTTAGATGATCCTACTGAATCACCAGATAATTATTTAAAATTATCAGTCATGCATTATTTATAAATAATAGAAAACTATGTTCTCAGACTAGTGTTACTTTAAGTAGAGTAAATTTAAATAGATATTTATTGATCCAGTTTTATGTGGCTTTGTTGTTCATTTGATTCATTTTTAGCATTAGGTAAAAAATCTGTCATCCCATTTTTAAGGACATTGAAACCAACCGTAACTACTATTTTGGGGACATGTAGAATAGTGGTTTTTACAGAGATCCAGGATCCATATTCTGTTCTCAACTGTTTGACTATTACCTTAAGTCAAATGATCTCTAGAGAACTCTGTTTTTATAATGAACAAAATTAGAAAGTTTACATGGAAAATCACTCTGGTTTTCTTCAGGTCTACTAGTCTATGAATATATTGACTTAAACGTCCTGGATGTAATAGTACCATGAATGTATGAAGGACACTGCAAAGAATACAAATGTTGTTTCCTGGCATCCCATCCAAATCCATGGTATAACCAGCTAAAGTGTAGGAGGTTTTGATTACGTTTATTATTTATTTTGCTTCAGTCATAAATATTCTAAGTTTCTTTATTCTCTGATGCTGCTGTGGTGATATAAACTCACAAATAATGTATTATGTTCTGCATTATTTAAAAAAGCAATTTTTCTTTTCCAACTTAAAAAAAATAAAGGCTAAAAAGTATTACACATAATACTTAAGCACCCGTAGTAACCTAATGTCAAGTTCCTAATACAATAATTATATTTTTATTAAAATAAAGCTAATATAGAACTTATCTAATTTTAGCATATTAATAATCCTGATAATTTAATCATTCAATAATTTTAATATGCTACATAAAATACAATATTTATAATACCTATATAACTAAGTGAACATAAAAAATTTCTGGAAGACAATTGCATGATGTCATAACATGCATGGGTGAGAGACATATTCAAGGTGCAATATAGGTTAAAATACATAATAATAGTATAAAATAATTATGGATGTGATTTCAGGTTCCATATTGCAACCAATATTTAAAATAGATGTGACAAGCCATAAGATTGCCTATTCTCTGCCATTTCAGATGTAGAGAACTGGTGCCTGAGTAGAACATATTGGCCACAAGTGATATGAAGTACAAGTGTTCAGAATACGACAAAGATTAAATGACCAGTCTCTGTAGAGCAGTTAATTGAAATGGAAAGACCTAATAAAAAAGAGCACCCCAGATATCTACGGAAGAATCTGTACAAATATTTGGCAATGAACTGAGATGTGCATGCCCAGCATGAGACCACACAAGGTTTATCAGATATGCGAGGCTATAGGGTTAAAAATGGGACAGAAATATGTGTGACAGTTGCACACAGTCTTGGAGGAAGAACTGAGCTGGGGCACTTTGTATCTCAGGCTATTTTAGGGTGGAGAGATATTCTCAATATCACAAGATATCTCTGGCATCCGTCTGAGGTATCAGCAAGTCTTGTCTTAGAAATAATAACAACACCCTAGAATAGAACTTAAACTATACTGGTCTCAACATAACTTAAAGCCAATCCGTGAGAAGATACATAAACAAAAGATTAGAGATTAGTCCTGCCAAATTAGAAGCATTTAAGAACACATTGCTTTCCTTTGATCTTCACTAAGGAGCACTAAGCCTAAACCTAAGACTACAGACTTCCAAGATAATCATCCAACAATTTAACTATTTACTGAAAAGTTAAGACTCTTCAGAAGACAGTAACATAATCTAATCTCTATGCTGCATTAACTGTACTTTCCAGTCTTCAATCAAAAATTGCTATGCATAGAAAGCAACTAGACACTATGAGATTCTTAGGCAAGCAAAAATGTAGGACCATAAAACTAATGGCAAAACGCCTAACTTTGAATTTAGTAGATAAGAACTCTAGGAAAATTTAGTGGTAAAAGACACAGAGAGAGACAGAGAGTGTGTGTATATCCATATATTTACTCCAAGTATGTGTATGCATATATACACTCCAAACAGAATAAAACTCCAAACAGAATTGAAATGAATCAAGCTTAGACAAATTATAATATATACATATATATGCACACACACACATACTCTATTATTACTAAATATATTTATATGTGTATATGCATATATAATAAAATATATTCAAAGTAATAAAAATTTGCTTCTTAAAAATATTTTTTTCATGAGTGAAGATGGGAAATTTTAGCATAGAGTTGGACATTTCAACTACAAAAAAATACAAATTCTATAAATGTAAAATGTCTAGAAAAGCATAATTACAGTATTTATTCAATATGCTTAAAATTTTTTTGGAGGTATTACATAAAGAATTTGAAGGAAGATCAATAAAAATTATCAAATTTGAAGAACAGATTCAACAAGAAGATGTGAAGCCACATGCATGTGTTTACAATATCAAACTTTCTAACACAGGCAAAATAATATCCTAGAAAGAAAAGAAAAATATATTTAAGAAAACCTAAATATTTGAATAAGTAATATTCAAAGTCCCAAAATTTGATGAAAAACACTAACCCAAAAACCTAAGAAACTCACAAAACTTCAAACAGAATAAAAATAAAATGCCATAAGCCTAGACAAATTAAAAACAAAGTTCTGAAAATCAAAGACAAGAAGACAGTCTTCAAAGTAGCAAGATTGGGAGAAGGGTACATTGTACACCAGAAAACAGAAATAATAGTTACTGTTTTTCAATCAGAAACAATGGAAACTTGAAAACTGTGAAATGCTTTGGAGTACGTATCAAAACAAGATTCTCAATCAGTGATATCCAGTAAAATACAAGAATTTGTCATCAGCAGGTTACCATCGTTTATTCCACTTACAGAAAAGACATACCTTTTTTGGTGTTCTGAAAACATTGCCACTGGTTCATATGGACATTTTTCCTACTGTTTTTTCAAGCTACAATAAATATATTGCCTACAGAAGAGAAAACTCTTAATTAAAACGAGAAAAAGAAAAAGCTGTGGTTATTTTTCCCTCAGCATCAGAAAGAATGCTATTCCCAATCTAGAGACAGAATTTGCCTAATTAATACCTCATTTTTGAGAAAAATCTTTTCAGTCAGCTATAGTCAAGTTAATTTAACTTGTTTGCTTAGGCTCGTAGAGTGGTGAGAGAAATATGTAGAGTGTTTTTCTTTTTAGTTAATTCTTGCCTGATTTTCTATGTTATGAGAGTATAAGATATGTGAAATGATGAATACCACTCTAAAATTATTAAACTTGTGTTTACATGTGAAATAACTATACTTCCCTGAAGGCTAAAAAGTATATTTATATAGTATGCAATTTGTAGCCTCGTCAAAATTTTTTGTGTGAAAATATTTATATAGATTGCATATAAATACAAAGATATTAAACCTGAAATAATGTAATTAGTTTCACACTATTTTAAGAATTTGTCCCAAATATGAAGGTTTACATTGAGAATTGTTTAATTTTATTTCTATTTTGATTATTGTAAAACATTTATCTGTTGTTATATTTAAATTGTCAAATACATATTATAGTTTCTAATTTTTCAAGCTTTATCAAGTAAAACTTTAAATTTGAAAACAAACCAGTGGTCAAATATGAGAATAATATCTATACTTTATCCTTCTATATTATTTTCCTTTCTACTTTTTTAAAATTGTTTTTTCTGTGATATTTACTGAGGGTTATATTAATACTCCATCTGTGATTTTCCATCTTT